TGTTGCTATTTTTATTATTATTGCCGAAGATAAGCGAGAAAAATTGCAATAACTTTCATATGTTAGCCACAAACATAAATCAATATGAAAGTGTTGAAGCTTACACTCACACTTACATACATTCTACAACACACACACATATCTAGTGCATTTGTTTGTATGTTTGTGTGCATATTCCTTGTGCCCTTTGCTCCACATCGCTAGTATCGTATTGCTCTCTTTGTGTTGCTGCTCAGCTGTCAGTTGCGATGGAGGCGCGGCTTGCTTACAAGTGCATAAATTCCATTACAACAACACTCACAACTATTGTGCATATTAAAAACTGACAGTGGCAACAGCGCGCGCATAAATAATTCACCGAAACAAAATTTAATCAACGCGACAGTTTGATCGCGCCTTAAACGCATTGAACGCCTCTGAGACGTCACTTCTGAGAATTGTTTGCTGTTTGATTGCTTTAAATGATATTAGTTCCAACTTTATAATAGAAACTGAGTGATTTGTGGCTTGGTGTATCTAATAATAAGGAAGTTCTAGCTTTAAAAAGATTAGCTTTTGCTCTGATAGTGATATTATATAAGCTTTTCGAGTACACTTCGGTATCTCCGAGCACAACGGCAACTCTTACGCTAAAGAATTGCCTTATTGAACCAAAATATGCATATAACACAGTTTAGTCATCGTAATATTTGGAAAATGAACCACGCCTTTCACACTTTTAAATAAACTATTTGTCTTACTCCAAATACTGATCCTACGAAGCTTCTTTATCAAAACTTAGTCATAAGATTTTCAACATGATCTGCTCTCATCCTACAAAGGCGCAGACAGTGGAGTCCATTTCCAACCTAAACCGACGTTCAAATGCCAGAATTTATTATGAGCCGTCTCGGCGATTTCAACTTGGTACAGGCCCTTACAAGGAGTTTCGATGTCATATACACATCCGTAATAATAATTTAGAAATAATCAGCGAAAATATTAAATAACTACAGAACTTAAGTCACCCGAAATATTACTGGTTTTTATCGTCATTAAGCTTGTAATATACACATGTATTACTGACCCATCATTCTAGTTAGACGAGGATTTTTCTGGGCTCTGTGTTTTTAGATTTTTCAAACTTGCTTCATTTTTGGATACAGATAACATATACTAGAAAATAACTTTTGAATTAACCCACTCAAAGTAGATTAGGTCGACAAAGGTTCACGTAGGAAAAATATGTCGGATAAAAATATACTTCGGCTACCTATACATATTTCAGCTGCCAAATTTCCGAGTTTTTATTTTTAATGAAGAATTTTTATTTAAGTAGTAATGAAATCATTCACTTATTATCTATTTTCGAACGACAGTTATGTAATTTTTCGAAGTTCCTCAAAAAAATGTTTGTCCCTGGAAGGGTTAATCTGCTTTCTTGAGTTAAAGTCATCAAAAAGTGCTGTGAACCGATTGCTCATCTCTAGAATTATTTTTATTGAAGCCCTACGAGTTCTAAATTTAACTTGAACTTTTTCTTTTGGAATCTCTCGCGGTTATTATCTAGAATATTGATCGGCTGGTCTTGAGATTGTTTTTAATAAATACATATAAACTTTCTTTATCATATCTCGTAATATTTTGCCACAGAAAAATGCTCCTTACTTATTTCCATCCATTTTTACCACTGTTTTTACTTTTAATACTCACAATTATTTCAACATTTGTAGCAAAACTTCTACCATACACTCTCAAATGCATATTTGAAATTCAACATTTTTTCAGTGCTTTGACACAAACAACACGCTTGAAATATCCACAAAATATGAAAAAGTGGAATTTATTTTATGTATATATTCTCACTTAAAATTAAACTAATGGCAAAAGGGTTGTGTAAATTCAAAGCAACAACTAAGTCAGGTGCTTGTCAAAACGCCCTCACACATACATGCACAGATATTTGAAAATTTTCCTTGTGGATAACAAAGGTTGGAAAATGAAAATCTTTGCACCCCTAAGCATTTTTATGTAAATCTATGTCAGTGTGTAGGTACTACATTCTTCAGTTATTGCTCTAAAAGCGGGGTAAAGAGTTTGCTACTAACAACTGTTGGAAAGTTTACTCACAAGCAGCACCAGATAAAGGCAAAATATTACAAGAAAAATTCGGTGCGAATATCAAAGCAAAAGAAAGAGCGTTTGCTCACGGCATTTCTGAGTTGTACAGAAATATGAAAGAATTCTTTTTATTTTCTGCTTAAAATTAAAAGCCGAATAATTTTTGTAGTGGAGATTGAGTAAGTAAGGTAAGTGAAAATAAACAATGGTGGGCAATTTTTAAATGCGTTTAGGAGAATTTAATTTTATAGTAATATATAAAATGTAATATGAATTATTTGAGTTGCATTTTCTGAGTGAAAATTTTAAATATTTTAACAAAAATATTGTAATATTTTAAATAAAATTTTGTGCATCTATGACTTTAAAAATGCGATTTTTTTCAGGAGTATTTTTAATACCTATCATGTATCTCACATATATATATAAATTTTCAAAAATTAGTTGAAATACTAATACTTATGAGTCAGATGCCTTAGAGCCTCGAAAAGCTCCTTTAACTCGCAATGGAAATACAAAATCTAATGAAATGATCCTTCTTAAAATCGTATTTAAGGCATTCTTGTATCTCTTAAATATATCCCTCAATACTCTTTGAATGTATGTAACAGCTAGTTTTGTGACTTGAAAGAGCGTTGGACTTGTCAATTCAGCTTTTATAATGTCTTTCTATCGGGTTTAGGGTAGTAGCGCCATTAAGCACATTATATGAGTCTACATTTTTTCCATACAAAAAAAATGCGTCGCTTTTTAAATTTTATATAGAATAGTATATAGATTGGGATTGCAACAAAAATTTAGCGTTTTAAATTACAGCGCCATCTAGAGCGAGCTTTTACTATACAAATTTATATTCAGTCTCAAAATCAATTCCCTGCATGGAAAACTTTTTTCTCTGACAAGGCATGTTCACACAAGTTCCAAGGCAATACTACAATATCCAAAGAAATTGTTCAGAACGGATCACTTTAGCATATAGCTGTCATTCTTAATTAAGTTCTTGTACGAGTATAGCATCTTTTGTATATATGAAGGGTATTACAGTTTCGATGCAACCGAAGTAACGGTTTCACTTGTGTTATTTAGCTTTACTCATTGACTAATATTTCAAAATACAATAAAAAAGCTTAAACGGCGTATATATTAAATTTTGTTTTTGTTTTATGAAGTTCCTAAGAAAAAAATTTAAAAACACGGTAATAATTAAATTTGATGCCGTAAGCGCTAATACAGTTTTGCCAACAACACTATTACCTCATCCGCCCGCAAAAAAGAAAGAGATCGACTTTATTTTTTGACGTCGTAGAACGAGCACGCTTTCGCACATTTGACAAATAAATCAACTCTGCTGAGTGACGCCACACAAACAAACACACACACAGCGACAACGGCACACACCCATGTGAAAAAAATTTGCTAATAGCCGCAACGAACGGACGACGGTGGATGGCGGGACGCAGGCAAAAGTCAACTGGACATTTGGCAGTCGTCAGCAGACAGCAGACAGTTGGCAAATTTTTGTGGCTACTGCAATGTCACACATCAATTACCAACGATGACGACGGCCGCAGCGCTGGCGACGACGGCGTTGGAGGCGAACAAACGCTAATGCAACACTGTCGCAATAGCATCGCCTGTTTTCGGTTTTTCGTTTTGCCGACAGACTCCGGCACTTCAAGCAGCGTGATTGAACGAGACACAAATTGCCCGACTGACGGACGGACTGACTGGCACACCGACTGAGTTGCATAGACAGGGTTAGGCGTGAGTCCATGCACGCTGCTAAATCACGTTTTCAAATGCTTGCTGGCGGTGAATCTGTGTGTGTGTGGGTGTGCTCATATGTTGGTCACTCGCAGCGCATCCGCCCACTGGAAACATGCAGAAAATGTCAAAATCACAAAAGGCAATAAACTGCATGCGAAATTGTGCACATTTTTCAACAAAAGCGTCGAGTATTTTTTCACTCTCGGAAACTCCGCTTTTTTTGACTGACGTGCATACATTTATATTAAGTCACTTTTTCAAGCGGCAGCTTTGTGTTTTTTTTTTTTTTTGTTGCGATGCCCGAGAGTGTTGCAAAATTGTATTCTACGCCTACGCTGGACCTGTCAGTTTGATTGTGTTTGTTAGTAGAGCCTTTTTCGCCAGTGTAGACTTCGAAAAAAAATTCTCAAACAAAAATGTGTGCAAAAACTGCAACACTGCACTGCAGTCGTAGATTAGCTGTAAACTAACGAGTTTGTCACACATAAACTACAAAAAAATTTTTAGTATTAACTTGTGAAATGGTAGCAGCTGCCAATAGAAATGTCAAAGTCAATACGAAATATAACGCTGCGCTCAGAAAAAAGTGCAGTTGGAGGCAAAAAAGAGAAGTGTATGGCAACAGATTTCAACTTCAGTAAACTAAAAGCATTATTCATAAATTAGTGAAGGAGTTATTGTTATTATTACTATTTTTTAATATAGCAAGACCTCGCTAATACGTTCTAAATCTTAATAAGTTAGTAGTAGGTCCTTACATGCCTATTTTCTAGTATTAACTTACTCACATACTTAGAAACCATATTTTTATAAAGCTTTAGCTGTAAAATGTTTAGTTTCATTCAAAGAGTTTTTACTGTATTTTTAAGTTTTCGCTAAAATTTCTATATTATCTTCATTTATTTGTCTTGAGATCCACCAAAATCAATATAACAATATTACATTAATATATTCCATTATCTTCTTTGAAATGTTACTTTGAGAATATATATTTATATATTTTTCCCAATATTTGTTATAAGTAATCTTCAAAATTCTTCAATAACATTATTTTTTATTTTTCCTCCTTCTAACACCTTACAAATTTACTTATTAGCTATGTTAAAACTAAACTTTTAATTGTTTTCTTTCAGACGGTATAGTCGGACCCGGCACCATTACGTCGCCGTGGCCACCGATGGGTGCCGGCCCGCCCGGTGCGCTAGGGCCGGCAGATACAAATGGCAGTATGGTGGATAGTAAAAATTTGGATGTCGGCGATATGAGCGACGTAAGTAAAATATTTACATACATATTTTTTGGCATTTTTAAATTTTAAGTGATTCATCAAAATCTGAACTAATAGTAGATACTATTAATATGAGCAATACTACCGACTGAAAAAATTGCCAAGCATAGGAAGCATGATCTTTAAATAAATAGTGTTTCGTAAAAAAATTTACACTTCAGAGTGTCGTTGAAAAAAAAAAATTTCTTTTTTTTTCAATCATTATGCGACAAATATATCAAAGATGGTCATGTAAAAATTTCACGTCGATCGGTCCAGCCGTTGGGAGAAATTGTCCTCACCGAAAATAGCGCTTAAAGTTTTGAATGCCGATTAATCTAAGTGAAGAAATTATTACAATACGCCCATATCTCCGAAACTGCCGGATAAACTTCAAATTTTCAGAGAATATTATCAAATATACCTAAATACATATGTACATTCGATATATATGAAAAAAAAACAATTTTTGAAATGTAGTGCAAGTGGATATAACCCTTTAAACCAAAATAAAATCTTCGTAAGACCAGATTTAATTTATACAGTGTATTTCGATTCTAAACTAGAGATAAAGTTAAAGTATATCGTCTGTTAATACTATTGGCATTGCTTGTTAACGCCGCTTAATTAGATATTCAAGGAATTCCGCTTAAGTCCCAACCCTTATTCGTACACAGGTCCAACTTGTTTTTATTTATGTAGACTTGCGGTTTCGAAAATGTATGAAATGGTTTATATCTGTTTGGCAGAATATGACATTTAAGGTTCTCAACAATACGCTTTCTCTTTCTGTTACCTTCTCTCTCTTCTATTTAAGGATTTCTACACTCTGCTTTCTCTTGCCTTTCTCTTATCTCTTCTATCGCTCTCTCTATGTTTCATAGCAATTGTCAAGCTCGAACGGCATCTTTCAAACTATGGTATAATATCAGCAACTAAAAATGCTCCGTTAAATCAAATTACGCAAAAAAAAAAATTGTATGCTTAATTCGGGATTGTTCAGACAAACACTCAAAACTTAATTTTAACGGAAAGATATTATTTTCTGTTCTTTAAAGACCAAAAAATTTAATAAAATCAAACATATTTGGAGTTTTGATAAAAAAAATCTTGCCAAATGACAAGTTTAAAGTCCATTAAGTGGCACACCTCCCTATTAAAATATATTGTGCTTAAACTGACTTCCGGTTAAAACAGTGCGCCGTTTTAAAAAAAGATTGAATTTGACCTAAAATTTAGGTAATTTTTTGCCGGATCATTTCTCAAGTAATTTTGAAAAATGTAGTCTTGAGAAAAATCCGAATAAACTGATAGAGCTCATTGAACCAAGCGGCTACACTTTATGGTAAACACCTGTAACTCAAAAATTAGTAAGATATCGATAAAAAAAAATATATATTTTGCTATTCATAAAGGAAAAAAATTCATATAAAAAAATATTTTTTTTTTTAATTCCCAAATTCTGCCCACGTAGCCCATTTGGTATAGCTTCCCCAACTTTACCTTGCTTCGCCATAACAACGAACCAACACGAAATTTGATAATTTAATCCAAATTCATGCTGTCAAATAAATCACAACCAACTACCACACACATAAGTAAATGCACATAGAGACACACACACACATAAGCGCAACTAACTAAAATGGCACTTAACTCAATTGCAATTGAACTCCATTTTGGTTGTTTAGGCGCGCAACCGCAAACGCAAAACTGCACGCAAAAACAATAAAATACCAGCAACAACAACAATAACAATAAAAACAACAAAAGTATGCAATTAAATGTAGAATCAAATGAAAAATGTAACAAAATAAGCGCGAAAACGTTAATGTAACAATAAACGCATGCGTGTGTTTGTGTGCGTGTGTTGGTTACGTAATAAATACCGTGTAATAAAAAACCAAAATAAAATACAATTAAACACAATACGAGTTAATTTTCAAATATGCCTGCAATTTCATTTGACCACAAATATGTTTGCAGTCAATTTCGGATATCAAATAGAAGGCACACACACACCAACACACATGCACATACGCCAAAATGTATGCATATGTAAATAATATTGCGCAATAAGTCGTTGATTGTATGCATGTTGGTGTGTGTGTCATGATTCTAATGTCGCTTTGGTGTTGCAGCAAGGCTCTTCATAACTGTATGCATGCGCGTGTGCATGTATACGTGTGTGTGACTATTTGGCTGTGTGTTTGTGTTGCATGTGTCGCAGGCTCCTTCAAATATTATTAACTTCATCAATGTAATTTGACACTGGCGCTGCCAACAGCAACGGCAAAGGCAACAATGACAACTGCAACAACAAACAACAACAATAACAAAATAATAAGAACAGCAACAATGTCTGCATGTGACAATTTTGTATTATATTACCGCAGTCGCAGCCATAACCGTTACACCGTGTGTCGCACACATCCCCCTCATATGAGCTCCCCCCCAAAAAAAAACCCGCACATTCGGAGAAGCAGCGCATGGCCGCCACTCCATCAGCAACATCAATAGCAACAGTTGCCGAATGTCAATGTTGAACCGTTAGATTGGCATCTCTTTCAGGTGGTCGCTGCTTTCTGCTAAATGGCGTTGCCACCGGTCTTCACTGACGAAACTCCAGCTCAGAGGCACATGCATTATAACATAGTAAAGAAGAGGCGTATGTATGTACAACGGTACGCGAGCGTAGGTGTAAATTTGCACATGTATGCGTGCTGCTGTGTGTGGATGTGTGATTGTGCTCTGCTTTGTGCAGCTACTCAAATTGCTCATTAAAACTCATTGACAATTAAAGCCACTTGAATTTACACGCTCGAGTGCCACACTTTTGTTGCTGTTGTTGCATACGTTATAACGAAATTCATGGCTGCAGCGAACGAATGAACGAACGACGATGCTGCACTTCAACATATCGCCGACTGGCATCATTAATATCAGAAGCGTTGTCGTGGTAATGTGACGATGCACAGTGGGTTGAAGGAGATGAAAAATGGCTACAAGAAATAACATTAAAAAAAAATATTTTAAAAATTAATTGTAAAAAATATTATTAAAAAAAATCAAAACTTAATACAAATTATTTGTAAAATAAATATAAAAAATTAAAAATTAATGGAATTCAATTGGTAAAAAAATTTATAAAAAAAAATTTATTAAAAAAACTAACTATAAAGTATTTTATATTGCTTATAATAATTAACTGTAAAAAGAATTGTTTTATTAAAGTTACGCAAATAAAAAATTAATATAAATTATTTAAAAAAAAAAATATAAAAATTTAATAAAAACAATTTGTAAAAAATAATATAAAAAATCAATAAAAACAATTTGTAAAAAAAAATATAAAAAACAATAAAAATTTAAAAAAAATAATAACAGTAAAAGTATTTTTTATTGCTTACAATATATATATAACTGTAAAAGTATTATTAAAATCTTTCTTTTAGTAATTAATTTTTTAAATTTTTTTTAAGTAAAAATTAAAATAATTTTCACAGTTTCCATTTTACCTTTTACCTTTAGTTGTTGTCGTTGCGACAGAAAATATTTCTAAATAATTTTGAAAAAATGCAACAAGGAGTTGTCACTCTATGACCGGATAAAAATTCTGGTCCGTTCTGGTTACGTAGATCCATATGTCGTAGGAACGGTAATTGTTTACCGGTATTTGTGATGACCCGGATGATAAGCAGTTGAGCTGCCTTAAAATAGTTGTTAAGTGTATTTTAATTTCCAACGGCCTTCACTGTCACCTTGTTTTGTCGAAAAAACGAAACGCTTTTTTAAATCATGATTATGAAAGATTATAGTGAGCGAAAAGCTCACTCCCACAGCTATATATATTGTTAAACAAAACTATTTTTCAATACTCTATCTTTACGAGCTCTTCACGCCAACGGTGCATTTTTCTTATTTTTTTATTTATTTACACGTAGGACTTGGTACTTATTACGGATCTTACTTTCCTCCTCCTTTCCTCCTACATGATTACTAAGAGTTCTTATTATATTTTAAGTTATGGCAAGGGCCTTTATGGGGTTTGTACTACCTTGATGTGTCTTTCGTTGGAACTTATTCCAATAAGAAGTGATATTTGAAAGAAATTCGAAATTAATTTCGAAAATATTAAGTTTCTATGTTCAGAGAATTATCTCGTTTCATTATTATATTTATGTCAACAACTTGCTGCACTAACGCCCATTGTGCTGTAACTGATACATAAAGAGAGCGTATGAGAGCAAAGTAGAATGACTTGCACTTTGCATCAATCAGCAACCATTTTAATATAATACATGCATACATAGTAAATACTACACACTCACAGCCATAAATACATATGTATATGAACAAGAGTTGCAACACCAGCGTGTTTATGCCACGCTCTTCCGAATATCCTTGCTTCATATGTGCTCTTATAAGCGTATATACAGTTGTGCTCGTATATGCTTGCCCTTCATTAATGTCAAAAACGATTATGTAGCAAAGGGTCCTGTTTAATGTGTAAAGTGCACTTTCCCACACATTAAATGCGCCTTTGTGACACTTTTTATGCTTCAGAATTGAAAAAAACTAAAACAAAGCACTGTTCAATGGAACTACATGTATACAGAGAATATAGGTATATTAATATATATGTACGTGTGCATATATTTTCATAATATTAAATGTATTGTAATTTTCACTTTTTCTCACGTTTTGCAGGACGAAAAGGATCTCTCCTCTGCCGATGCGGAAGGTGTTTGGAGTCCGGACATCGAACAGAGTTTTCAAGAGGCTCTCTCCATATATCCGCCATGTGGTCGACGAAAAATCATTCTATCCGATGAGGGTAAAATGTATGGTAAGTAAATGAAAAAAAAATACATACATTTATACTTATAGATATATATATAATTTGAAGAGCATATATGTATACTTGGAAGAGTAGCCTTATAGGGTTACTAAAAATATATATATTGAAAAATTATATTAAAAAAAAAGTTAAATATTTCCTCATAAAGAAATGCATAAACTTAATATGCAATTTCAAAACAGAGTGTAAGCCCTGTATAAGAGCGATTATATTTCCTATTTTTCAATTAAGCTTATTCTTGAACTATTGATTGCGCTTATAATTTATTTCGAGATTATCACCTAGTTAGACTAAAAATTTCTTTTCTGATATAAAAACCTAATTTTATTGAAATGTTGCCTACTTTTAGGCACAAAGTGATTTATTTTTCTTTTTGGCTTTAATTTATACCACAAAGTTCAAAAAAAAAATTTTCAAAATATTGCTTTTGATTTTGAAGAGGCCCCAAATGGTCTTGAAATCCTTTTCTACTACAAAAAAGTCCGCGAAAAGTACTGCACCTAAAAATATGCTTATATTTTCGACCAAAATTGCACACCAATTGCACAACTTCACTAATTCTCTTCCAACAAGTGACGTCAGCCCCACCTTCACACAAAAATCACAAATTTCTCAAAGATATCACAGCTCATTGCCACAATAACTTCAAAAGTACTAAATTTTGATTGTGTTTTGACAACTCAAGTCACATAATTGACACTTCGAATCGTCAAGAGCTATTGAGACGCGAACAAAAACAACCATCACTAAAACTCTTTAGAGGCGCTGAGGCGCTGAAAAAACGAAAATTATACACTACGCACAGCAAACCATTGCACGTCGCCGCAATGAGCGATAATCCACTTTAAAGCAATTATAATCTCTTTGCTCTGTCATAATCTACAATAAACTGTGCCACTTACAAACACTTCAGATTTTCTCGTTTCATTTTTGTGTGTGAAATTCGCCAATTTTCCAGCACGTTCCACGCTTTGCTGGCGGAAAGCAGCAAAAAAGCTGCAATCACAGCAGAAACACTGCTCGAGAAATCTTGAAAAATGCGCGCACAAATACAACAACAACGATTACGTGTATGGCTCAATAACGGATAAAAAGCAAAAGAAAGAAAACATTAAGAAGAAAAATAAAAGCAGCAGAGTGATCTGCCAAATGTGGGCAGCATGTAGTGAGCACTAATGCGATTACAGCACATTTCCTCATTTATGCGCCTATTTACTATTTGCACATATACATTACACATATACAACGTACGCTTGTGTTTTTGTGGTGAAGTATGAATGTGCTTAACAGCGGGCAAGTTTTGTGCTTAAATCGCTTACAGCATCCGCCTACAGGCTGCGCCGATTCTGAACTCACAACAGTACACGGCGTGGATCAGTGCCCAGTCAGTATTCACTGTCTTGGTTCGTGGTATATATGTATGTATATGTGTTGATAATCACAGTAAATCTAACAGCAAAGCAATTTCAGACGCCTACACAGATCATGCCGCAGCAATTGGGTAAAAAATATTGTGGAAAAAAATAAATTCGAACAAAGCTATGTATATGACATAAATAAAATTTTATTTAATTAAATAAATAATAAACAATAAATATAAAAAGGTGAATAAAAAAAAAATTTAAAATGAAACTTAAAAATTAAAGTTGAAATTAGAATTAAACTTAAATTAACATTAAATTTAAATTTAAAATAAAAATAAAATTCAAATTCAAATTAAAACTAAAATTAAAATTAAAATTAAAATTAAAATTAAAATTAAAATTAAATTAAAATTAAAATTAAAATTAAAATTAAAATTAAAATTAAAGTTAAAATTAAAATTAAACTTAAATTTAAATCAAAATTATATTTTAAACTAAAATTTAAATTTAAATTAAAGTTAAAATTAAAAATTAAAAACTAAAAATAAAATTTCAATCAAAATTATATAGAAATTTTAAACTAAAATCAAAAGTAAAAATTAAAACTAAAATTAAATTGAAATTGAAATCAAAAATATAATTAAAATGGAAATAAAAATAAACGTAAATGTAAAATTAAATATATAAATTAAAATTAAAGTTATAAGAGAGAATTAAAATTAAAATTAAATTTCAATTTATTAATTAAAATAATATTAATATAAATCATATTAAATTTAAATTAAAAATAAAAATACAATTGAATTTAATTTGAAATCAAAAATATTATTAATATTATAATTAAAAGAGAAATAAAAATATATGTAAATGTAAAATTAAAATTGAGTATAAATTAAAATCATGATAAGATTAAGAGAATTAAAATTTAAATTTAAATTTAATAAACAACATAATTAAAATTAATATTAAAAATTATAACCCAAATTAAAGATAAAAATTTAAGCTTAAATTAAAATTAAAATTAAAATAAAATTTAAAATAAAAATTTTAATTTTAATTTAAATTAAAATCAAAAATATTATTAAATTTAAAATTCAAATAGAAATAAAAATATATATATGTAAATGTAAAAGTAAAATTGAATATAAAATAACATTATCATTAAGATTAAGAGAGTTAAAATTCAAATTTAAAATAAATTACGATTAAAATCAAAATTTAAATTGAAATTTGAATCTAAATTTAAATCAAAACTATACTTAAATTTAAAATTCAAATAGAAATAAAAATATATGTAAATTTAAAAGTGAAATTGAATATAAATTAAAATTAAGATTAAAATAAATCTAAAATTAATTATAAGTTAAAATCTAATTATAAAAAATTATAATAAAATTAAAACAACAATAAAATAATTTAAATTAAATCAAATACAAAAAAATAAATTAAAACTAAAAAATTAAGCAAAAATTTATTTGTAATAAAATAAAATAAAATTAATAGAAATGACGTTAAAAAAAAAATAGAAAAAAATAAAACCTATCTATTCAAATAAAAATAAAATTTCAGTTAAAAAATAAATTTAATAAAATGTATTTAATAACATACAGTAGTAGATATTAATTGTAAAAAATGAAATGTAAAAGCAAAATTAATTACTTGAAAGTATTTTTATATACAAATTATTTTTTATTTGCATTATTTAATGAGTGAGTTAAAAAGTTCAAAAAATCAGAAATGAATGACAGTTTTATAAGTATATCCTAGGTACTAAAATAATATCAATGCTACATATATATGTACATATGTACGAGTATATGCAATAAAAAACGCTTCACGCATTCAAAAAGATGTAGACGTAAAGACAGTGAAAGGCGAGAAACGGGCTAAATGTCTGAGAAAAAGAATTCACGACAAGAAAAGGCAACATAATAAACACAAGAAGTAGTGGAAAGGAAATGTGTGGGTGTCAAGTCGCGAAGTTGACTGCGATTTGAGGCGAGTTCAGCAGGCAGCAGTTATGAATAAATGCACTTTTGTGTGTATGTATGTGCTTATGTGTATGCGTGTTGCATAAATGTGAGATATGGTTTTATGAAATACTCGCAGACTTCGTTGAATGGCAACCGGGAAAAACCGGCCACTTGAGGCAACGGTATACATATGTATGTAGGTATGTTGTATGTTTCTGCATGACCGATAGTTGGGCGCAGCATTTAATGCCTGCCTCAAGGCGCAACTAAATAGCGTAAATCTGCAACTAAATTGATAATTTCAATGAAGGTTTTGCAGTTTTATTTTGTTCCTTTTTTTGCCTTTTATTTTATCGTTGCACTTTGGCGTAGTTCTGTGTGCTGAGAATTTTCATGAATGAAGAAGAGTGATTCTTGTACTTACATATGTATGTATGTGAGCAAGAGCCTCCGGAGCAAATAGGCTTGCGCATCCTTAGCGATAAGATCTTTGTATGAAAGCATTGAAAGCTAACTTATAAACGGTTATGAGTTAAAGACTTTGGCAATGGGTTTTAGCTGCAACTATTGCAAGCAACTTAAATTTTAAATTAATATATAAGTATAAAAATAATGTATTTCATTAAAGATATTAATTTCATTAGTTTTTAATTTATGGAGGATGACAACACTTAACAATAAAAAAATTTCAAGAATAAATCGTTATATCGTTATAATTTATTCGACTACTTTAATCGTTAGCAACGCCTTTTTACAAATATAAAAATATGCAATTTAATTGGTTTGATCCCAAAACCAATAATTTGTTTTTTTAGACAAGATGGCAACACTTCACAATAAAAAACTTATCAAGAATATTCCAGTACCCTGCACCATAAGAAGTACTCTAATTTATTCAACTAAATTAATTCAATAATTTTAAAAAAGGTGGCAACGTACTTTTTAAATTAAGTAGGTTTCTTCACAAATCCAATACATACGAGTATACTCTTACTCATATATATACGTATGTACGTATTTCACTTAACTTATCACTTTTATTAATTTTTGTTTTAAATGCGCTGGCAACCCTTTTTTAACCGATTATAAAAATTATGTTTCAACATTTATACTACGCCATAAACATTACCACATTACAATTACAACAATTTCTTCGACTCAATTAAATAAATTATTTTAAAGGGTGGCAACTCACTCAGTCAACTCTCATTAATACAACTTTTTTATGGAACAATTATATGTAAATAAATTATAATCTATTTAATTTACAATGTGTATGTTTATTTTTGTCCATATTATATGCATGGTTTCAAGCTTTTAGGTCCACTATTTTTCAAATCTCTGAAAACCGCCTGACTTAGCAAAAATAATTGCCTACTGATTGCCACTTTAGCTACGAGTAAATGACAATTTTTTCACTTTTGGATAATTTCTCTGCACCGCTCTAGCGCATTAAGCAAACCACATATGTAAATCTGTATATTTGTTTGTATGTACGTATATCTGTATATCTCTGCTATCTGTCGCTTGTCGTCAGTCAGCGTTTTCTATCGTCCATCATCGTCTACGTCTCGGTCTGTGGCAGTGTGTCGACACACTTAATGATACATTTTATTTCAAGCTGGCGTAGCAAAAGCGACTGGCAGGCGAA